CAAGATAATGAGTACATTTCTTATCAAGCATTGTAGCCTCCTCCTTTGTTTCCCCTTCCCATCCCTTCCCATCCTCCCCCCACCCCCACACACAATCCTCATCCCCCTCCACCAAAGTTTAAAGTTCGTTTTTGACATAACGACTTGTACATCTTATTGTTGCAATGGGTCCACCCGTATTCCTATCTAAACGATTTGTTTTTCCCCTCCCCTCCACAAATTATACCTCTTTTTTCTTTCTTGCTATTGTTATTAATGTATTTATAATGTACCGTATGATTTTGTTGTTGCTTTGTATGTTCCTCCCCCATGGTATAATGCCTATTTTCACTGTATTTGATGTTGCCCCTATTTTCACTGTATTTGATGTTGGCATCTTATATATACACTTCTCTAATTTGGGAGGGGAAGGGAAAAAACAAAATCCTTAAATAAGGATACAGGTTGACCCACTGTAGCAATGAGATGTACAAACACTATGTTGAAAACACTTTACAACTTTGGGGGTGGGGGGCAATAGTTGTGGAAGTGGGAGGGAAGGGATGGTAGAGGAAAAACAAAGGAGGAGGCAACAGTGCCCAATAGGAAATGTACTCATGTAACTGTAACCCCTCTGTACAGCATTTTTAGAATTAAAAATGTACAAAAAAATGTATTAAAAAGCAATAAATTCATCAGTATTTTGATTTGATTAATTGTGCTTATTGGAGAATATAGTTAACACCTGACCCCCTTCAGGAGATGAGGATAGAACAGAAAGCCCAGAAAACTCTGATCCTTCTTTCATTCCTCACATGAGATTACAATTCTCCCCAGTTAGAGTGGCCAATATCATAAATTTGAACAACAACCAAGGTTGGCAAGGATGTAAGAAAAGGAACCATGTTGCACTCTTGGTAGGAATATAGTCTAGTAAACCCCTCTGGATGGCAGTCTAGAAACTTCTTTCAACCAGGCTTCCCCCCAGCGCATCACAAGCCTGGATATTGTGAAAACACTTGCACATCCATGTTCACTTTGCACTATTCACAATAGCCAAGTTTTGGAAACAGTCCAGATGTCCTACAATAGGTAGATGATTCCAAAAATGTGGGACCTATACACAAAGGAATTTAACACAACCTTTACAAAGAATAAAATTATGTTTATTTGCAGGGAAACGGATGGACCTAGAACAAGTCACGTGGTGCATGTTTCTTTTGTGTATATATATTTTTATTGTAAATATGCTATACAGAGGGGTTACCCTTACATGTAAGGTAATGAGTACATTTCCTATCAAGCATTGTTACCTCCTCTTTTGTTTTCCCCCTACCTTCCCTTCCTGCCCTACCTCCCCAACTCTTCCCTACCCCCACCCCTGAAGTTGTAAAGTTCATTTTAAACATAGTGTCTTGTACATCTCATTGTTACAATGGGTCCATCTGTATCCTTATTTCAGCATTTTGAATAACTCATTTCTTATAACAATATTATGAGGGAGGTCTGTTATTAATCCATTGTACAGTTGGAGAAATTGAAGTACGGAGTATTTAGGAAACGTCTTCAGGGTTACACAGTTTTTGTTTTTTTTTGTTTTTTTTTGTTTTTTTTTGGGTTACACAGTTTTTAAGTTGGGTTTGAATCCAGATTGTTGGAGCCACTGCTTTCATCAGGTGTTGGTACTAGCCAGTAGTAATGAGGAAAACAGAAATAAAAGCATTTCATCTTTAAAGAAAATGTCTACATTGCACAGTCATGACACAGATTGCAGAAAGATCAGTTGGTTACTCCTTGTCAGTATTGTCTCCCAGTTTGAATGAATGATTTTGAATGAACCCCCACTCATTGTTTACACAACATAACAGAGATAGCAGACCATGATGCTTAAGATTACAAACTGTGGTGGTGCATGTTTTATCCTATATGAGGACACTAGATCTAAAACATACCAAGACATGATAAATTATACAGGACTGTAGGCATTCACACACAGTGAGACCAGAAGAGGATATTCTTAGGAGAGGAACACAAAGGCACCATGCCTATGTACATCAAACTATACAATATTATATCTATCAAAATAAACTCCAGGAAAAGGAAACAAGAGAATTTTCCTTCATTTTTGTTTTCAATGTTTTCTCTTTCTTTTTTCCTGTTTGTTCATTTACGTATCTTTGGAAGTATAAGGGCGAGCACAGAAATGGAGACACAAAAGAGAAACAAATGCAAAAGTGGTACTCACTAGACACTATGTTGAAAATGAACTAGGGTAGGGACAGGAAGGAAAAGTTGGGAGACAGCGAGGGAAGGGATGACACTGTCCAAAAACAAATGTTTTACATGACTTGTGTAACCCTCTGTATATCACCTTCATTACAATAATCATTTTTTCAGTGCTGTATTTTAAACTGCATAAGGCTAAGCCATGAAGATTCTGAATTTCAAGCTCACTTGAGCTCTGAAATCTTGTCTCAATAATATATATGTTATTAACATATTATACATCTTAGGAATATGCAAAAAATTTAAATAAAAAATCTTTTATCATGTAACTTATAGGCTACAAAATTGAAATTTAAATGATAATTGTTCAATTATATGATTTTTTCTTAATATATATTTTTTATTGTAAAGATACTGTACAGAGGTGTTACAGTTACATGAGAAATGTAGTGAGTCCATTTCCTATCGAGCATTGTTACCCCCTCCTTTATTTTTCCCCTACCATCCCTTTTCTCCCCACCTCCCCAACTCCTCTCTCCCCTCCCTCGCCCCCCCACAAAGTTGTAAAGTTTGTTTTCAATATACTGCCTTGAACATCTCATTGTTACAATGGGTCATCCTGTATCCTTATTTCAGCATTTTGTTATTTCCCTTCCCCTCCCCAAATTAGAAAAATGTATATACAAGATGCATTACACCAGAGTCAAATACAGTGAAAACAGGGGTTGTACCATGGGGGAAGAACATACAAAGAAACAAAAAGAATATACTATATTATAAGTACATTAAAAAGAATGGCAACAAAGATGAAACCTCTTGTGTCCCTTAGGGTTCATTTCACTTAGCATCAGGTTATTTTTTTTTGTTAGTCATGGGAGTTGAATTCTGGGCCTGGATGTTGTCCCTCAGCTCTTCAGCTCACGGCAAAAACTCTTGAGCCACGGAATCCCTTCAAAAAAGGGGAAAAAGTGATTTTTATTAATACTCACAAAGTTATATATATATATATATATCACTATAATCTAACTTTAGAACATTTTTATCACTTCTAACAAGAACCTTGTGCCAATTAGCAATTACTCATCATTTATCTCTTTTCACATTTCTTCACAACCAGAGGCAAATACTAATATTCTTCCTGCTGTTGTTGCTCAAAGAAAACAGAGTTTCAGTTGGACAAGAGAAAAAAGTTTTGACATCTACTGAACAGTATACTGGTCACATGTACTCAGAGACAATGTCTTACACGTTGCAAAATAGCTACAACAATAAACTCAAATCCCTATTCCAAAGTAAAGAAAGAATAAGCAAGCTGGTTGGTTTAATCATTCTATACCATATGCATTTATCACTTTTATATTGTATATAATAACTACATACAATTAGGGTTACTAAAAATGATGTCCATTAGAATTCATGTATATTAAATCAACTACAAATGCTTTTATTTCTTGTAAGATACAATTTTCTAACACATGACACTTTCATAAAGAAGAATCTGCTGTAATTCTGTTCCACAAAAACTTGTAAAAATCAAGATTTGAAATCCAAAACAATGGATGAATCTCAAATCATGTGGATTTCCTATAGTCAGAAGGATCCTTGGTAATAAACGTTAAATATCAAATATGTGAATGCATGAAAAAATGTTTCTACTCTCTTCTGCAATGCTTAGTTCCTAAACCCAGAAATGCATACTAAAATATTAATTTTGACTGAAAGATTTTTTTTGGGGGGGTCCAGTCGTGGGCCTGAACTCTGGGCCTGGGCGCTGTCCCTCAGCTCTTCAAGGCTAGCGCTCTACCACTTGAACCACAGCACCACTTCTGGCTTTTTTCTTTTTGCTTATGTGGTGCTGAGGAATCGAACCCAGGGCCTCATGC